ATGGTTCCTTAATCGTATTGAACCAATGCCATATGAGGTAAGAGGGCTGTTATCCGCTGTGTGGATGACTCCATATTCTCCTTCTTGAAATTCCACAAACCAGTCCATGTTAGGACACATACACTACAAAAAAACTGGATTTAGCTACGAACGTCGTCGCTAATCTGTCGCTAAAATGCTCGTTGCTAGAAGAATCTTTTGATAATCCATCGCTAATCCGTCGTTAAATGAGATTAGCGACGGATTTTTCTGTTTAGCTACAGATTTTGTCCGTCGCTAAACCCTGGTTTTTTTAGTAGTGATATGATAGCTACAAGCCGAGTCCATCAACCATATGTCTGATGATGTTGATGACTCTGTTGTAACTAATGAGAAGTCTGAATCATCACAATCAGCTACATTTGAATCCATAATAGCCTTTCCATTGTTATGTTTGGCCTTATTCTTCAACTTCGGACAGTCTTTCTTCCAGTGCCCTTTTTCTCGACAAAAGGCACATTCATCTTTGCTGGGTCTGGATCTTGACTTGGATCTTCCCTTNCTCCCTTTCTTTGTTCATAGCTGTTCAAAGCCGAACAAACTTCTCTGAGAGAAATTTCGTCATTCCCATGGAGTAGAGTAGTTTCAAGGTGCTCGTACTCATCAGGAAGTGACCCCAATAACATCAAGGCCAAGTCACCATCATTAAAATTTGCATCCATATTTTGTAAGTCTGTGACCAACTTATTGAAACTGGTGATATATTCGTTCATTGTGGTACCAGGAAGTAGAGAATTCCTCTATAACTCTTCTTTTATATGCTTAGGAAATGTTAAATTCTTACCTACACCATCACTGTTTGAAACACATGTCATTGCCTTCTTATCATCATTGTCGCTAATGAGAACAACAATTGATCAAAGATACACCCTGTCGGGTACTGTATCCAAGTTACTCTCTGTATCTAAGTTCATCCCGAGTAATAGTACCACGAGGATAATCACCAAATCCACCAGACAACTTTATGATGCCAATGAAGTAAGATGAGTTATTCAATGAGACTCGTATTGTAAATAAGAAGAAAAAGACTGATCCAGAAAGGTGGGCCGAGGGTCGAGCCTCGACTATACATGTAAGTTTTTTACTTTTTATTAAGTATTTTGATTTACTTTTATATAAATTTTGAAATACTAATTCAATATAATTTTTCTTATAGGTTCGCTTCACAGCTGATGTGGGGGAATTCATACGCAGTCAGCCACCTAATGAGTCGGGCGAGGCAATCCAACTTTCGGATGAGGATGCTGAAAGAACACTCCTTGAGTACTTTATATACTTTGAACTAGACAATAGAACCAGTTTTCGAATGGGCTTGTAATAAGCGTTAACTTAGTTTTGTTAGCTTAATGTGTTAGTTCTATTGAACTTTATACTTTGTTGCTTTTTATTGTTGTTGTTGTTGTTGTTGTTGTTGTTGTTGTTGTTGTTGTTGTTGTTGTTGTTGTTGTTGTTGTTGTTGTTTATTGTTGGCATAAAATGCATGTTTAGAATTTTTGGTAAGCTGACAGGTGGTGTAGCTGCCAAAACAGGTATTTTCTGGCAAAAATATACCAAGAAAAGCGACCAACTTTGGTCGCTAATTGGTCGTTTTTCCCTTAAAAAAATAATTTTCTGGGCAATAGAGACCAACCTTGGTCGCTATTTAACCCAGATTTCTCAAAAGCGACCAACTTTGGTCGCTATTCTATTTAAAAAAAATAATTTCTGGAAATATAGCGACCAAAGTTGGTCGCTTATAATTAAAAAAAAAATTATTTCTTGAAGTTAGCGACCAACTATGGTCACTTATTTTAAAAAAAAATAAAAAAAAAATAAAAAAGCGACCAATCTTGGTCTCTATTTTCCAGATTTTAAAATATAATATTTGGATTAGAGATCAAAGTTGGTCGCCAAAATTATAATATTAAAATAATAAAGCGACCAAAGTTGGTCGCTATAGTCTTTACCCGGAATATTCGGTCCTTTTACCTTAGAGACCAGCAATATTGCGACCAGGCATGTTTGGTCGCTTTTTGGTCGCTTTTAGGCCTATAAGCGACCAACTTTGGTCGCTTTTTGTGGTCGCTTTTTACCGGATTTCTAGTAGTGATCATTATTGCTTGCATCGAAAAAGGAAGGTTGAAATACATCAAATACAAGTTTTGCAACGTTGAGAGTTAAGATATATAGCAAATTTAAAATTTTGAGAAGCTGTCAAAGTAGAGATAACTTTTTTTGTATACATGTTTGGAGATTGGTTATTACATTTTAAGTTGGAAAAATAGTGTACTTTGAACTAAACATGAGTAAGTAGTGTGATTTTTTTTTTGGTCAAAGGGAAAATTATATATATTAAAAAGTACATTACAGAGTGCAAGCAGTATGAATTTGTTAAACGACAATGATATCTTAACCACTATTATTGGTTTTCCATATTAACGGAATTACAAAGATTTGCGACCATAGTCAAGTAACCTCATTAATAATCAAACTCAATCTTATGCCCTCATTAAATCATAAACTTCGAACTCTATAAACCGTGGCTGCCCTACAAATATAGTCACACTGCCAGTACGAAGCACAAGCAGAAGAAGAAGAACTCTACCACAACCAATCGTTGTTTATAGGGGACAAATTATAGTATCAAAGAATAGTGACGTTATAAGTTCTTATTTGGAGGGAAAACATAAGTGATAAGAAGTTTCGGACTGTACCTCAATCTTTTGTCTGTGTTTTCACATCCTTGTTTGCCCAGGCCTATAAAATTAGAGTAGGTTCCATATAAGTTAGTAAGAGCAAAATATGTAAGAATAATGCATAAATAATAAATAACTATAAAAGGATTACAGACCGAGAATTATGGAGCGATTATGACTTTTCTCTGAAATTGTTTGTGAGGGACGGTGTTCTTCAGATGTCTTCATTGGCGGGGAGGGACATAATTTTTTTGGCGGAATAGATATAACGTTTGCAAATCAGAAATAAGGCAAAGAAGGGAGATGTAGTTGAGTAAAGCATAAGTTTTTGAATGTCAATAATTAAGAGGCCTGGGGGTATTTGAATAGGGGAAAGGTGTAAAGGATACTAACAATAGTGCTGATACTAACAGTAGTAGTGTTGATACTAACAGTAGTAGTGTTGATACTAATAGTTAACCATTGTATAGTTAACTTAAGTTAGTTAGACCATTGTATAGTTAACTTAAGTTAGTTAGACCATTGTATAGTTAACTTAAGTTAGTTAGACCATAGTTAATAGTGAGTGTAGTTAGTTGAATATTAGTTGTATAAAGATAGTGGGACCACTACTTGTAATAGTTAGTCGTCATTTTAACAAAATATGATTTGTCCTGTTCCATTGTTTTTCTCCCTCTCTCTTCTACAATGGCAACCGCTATTTCTTCTCAATCTGATTGAATTGAGCAAAGTTTACATGGTATCAGAGCTTCGAGTGACTGAATTGAGGGATCTATCATGAGATTTGCAGTGAAGATCGAGGAATTTCAGTCCATGCATGTTCAAATTTTGTCGATTGAAGAAGATCATTTGTAAACCCTAAGTTTTTTTGTTAAAATGGTGATTGATGAGTCAACTAGCAGTACTCCAGACGGAGCAGCTAATAGAGCGATTTCTATGGCTCAAACTCTCGATTACACACATCCACTCTATTTACATCCTTCAAATGCACCGAGTTCTCTCTCTGTAGGAATCCAGCTGATTGGGATGGAAAATTACACACTGTGGAGTCGTGCGATGAAAGTTGCACTTTTAGGAAGAAATAAACTAGGTTTTGTGGATGGATCTGTTGTGAAAAAGGATTTCGAAGGAGAATTGCAAAAACAGTGGGAACGGTGTAATGCAATTGTGGTTGAATTGTAAATTCAAAGAATGTTGGGTAAATTGGAGCAGGGGCAACGTAATTGGGAATTTAAAGAAGCGGCGCTGGAAGAAGGGAAAGTGGAAGCCCAGTTGAAAGTTTAGATGTGGTTTGCTTGATGCGAAGAAGCGGTGACGAAAGAATATGCGAAGCGTTTTTCTAAAAAGCGGTGACGAAAGAATTTGTGAAGCACTTTTTTTTTTCTTGTAATTTTAATGTGAAACTACCGGTAAAAAACCTGGAGCCTAGAAAATTCAATTGGTGGTTATTGGAGTGCCACCTCATCGGGGTTAGGGCCCTCTATTATATATATATATAGAGAGAGAGAACCACATGCGAAAATGATTGAGTCAACAATGTTAAAGTATTATTTTACTCATGGTACCTAAAACAATTACAAAGCAAAACTTGATTTGCCACAAATTATATGGAATCACCAGAACTTTGTACAAATTGGGTTGTAATTTTGCAATAAATTGTTCATAAGTCCTGGCAGATCACTGCGGTTTTTTAATGGATGGATAAATCATGACTGATCACTGGGAGTCTTGGCAGATTATAAGTCTAAAGAAATTGTCTATGCAATTTCGTTATTCATTTACATATACCAAAGAAGCGTGCTTCCCCTCTCCAAATCATGCTTGTAAATGAAGAAACAAATTCTCTTAATAAAAAAAACAAAATTAGAGTAATCGACCAAATACGAGGGTCAGACCATTCAATTTTTGGTGTAAATTAGGATATTAATTTCTTAAAATTTATTAAACACGATTACATATTTATAGGTTATATTGAAATTACTATAAATATAAATCTTTGTAAGGAAATTATTTAAATCTTTTTGAATTAACATGATTAAAGAAAGAATGGTGTGACTGAGACATAAAAATACTTTTTAATTTAAATATGGAAGAGAGTAAATTTACTTATTCTGCTGCTACTAAAAAAAATCTCCCCATGGGAGTTTGGTCAATTTCATAGAATGACCTTAAGAGATTTTAATAAGCTAATTTTACCACTTGACCTAGTAAGAAGTAGTTTTGACATGTTGTAACAGAACACAAACTTAAGTTTCAGTTTATGTCAAAAGTGCAAACTTTTGGGGGTACAATTCAACAAGCTTTTCACCAGATATAGTTCCATTAGAACTCATCGTCATATTACTAATATATGCTACATAATTTATCTCTCGTAGCTTCGTCCTCCTTTTGAATATCTTAAACTTAACTTTTGTTTCCAAACGAACTACGAAATCTATACTTCCACTGCCAATTCCTTGCCAAAATAGCTCATCAACATTATACATTTGCACTTCCTTTTTTGCAATGTTTTTGTGGCCTTGGTAAATCCCTTGTGTAGAATTTCTTCCTACAACCAAACCATTGTAATTCAAAGTGAAGTTGATATCATTATAGTAAATGCTCATACCTTTATTGGGATTGAAAATTTCAAGGTTTAAAATTACAGAATTGTTGTCGCCGTGGAGAGAAGAATTCTTAACGTTCAACTCAAGAAAGGAGAAATCAACAAGAGTGAAAATTGGATTTCTTGGAATCAAACAAAGCCACATGACTAATGAGGTCAAACTTAAGACAGTTGCAACTTGGAAGAACCAACAGTAGATATCAATATTATAAGGTTTGGATTTCCTTCGATTATTCATTTTTGGTCGAATATTTGGGATTCATTAACGTGGAGAGTTACAAGAATATAAGAAGTTCAGGAAAATGAAGAAGCAAAACGTACGTCTATCTTTTATATATTCCCAGAAAAGTCTGCCTTTAGTTGAACTTTAGTGGTGTGGTGTTAGCTTGGTTGTGATCTACTCAGCTATTCATAGGAACTTTTTTAAAGAAACACATTTATTGGATGGATATTCATATCCTACACCACAATGGCGCTGGAAAGTAAATCTACGTAGGAACAGAATCTGGAAAATTAGAAGACACCGTCTAATTTGAAGTCTATCATCTGTTGAAACTTAAATAAGAAGCAAAATAAATTAAATGCTAAATCATTAATTTTACGAATTAGTTCATGTAAATGACTAGAGAAAGTGCTGGAAGTCTTCTTTTGCTATTTCAATTTTCTATTTTCTTCTCATAAAAAATATGCCTTTTGTTTTCTATTATTCCTATTACCTTTTTCCCCCCTTTAAAGCTAAAAATATTCATTAGCCTATCTCATATTTCCATGATTTTTCATTATGTTAGTAATGATATCATATATTATTACCCAAATAAAAATGAAATCATATTATCTTTGTTATGCATCAGGATTCTGTACAACTTTTGTATTAGGTGATGCAATATACACAGTGAAAAATGTTACACAATCTAATTAAGGTCCTCTGTTAAGTGATTGCATAAAATCTAGGTAAAATTATCAGAGACCCCTTGTCCTTACCGTAATTGTGGCAGTGAAAGAATTAATGTACTCTTTTTTACAATCAAATACAAACCAAAAATGAAAATTCAATAAGGAAAACATGAATTGAGATGTCTAGTTGAAATATTCTGGACATCTTTTATCTATGTAACCAGTCAAGACCATACCATCCTGGCCTACTCCCACAGGACAATTAGCATGCATCCTATGATGTTTACTATTCCACGACCATATCCTAAATCGAATTTTCGCCGTTAATTCTATCCGAAAAACCACCGTTCCACGAGACCGATCGTCGAGCATTTGCTGCCATTGTGTTCCGGTCACTGTAATCATGGGGCCAGAAAATGTACCAGCAAGAATAGTAGTGTTTTTGGGCAGTTGATAAAATGGAGTCAACAATTGGGAATTCCCAATACTCTGTTCTTGATAAGTCGCTGTCACCTGCATTGCATCATAAAAAATCCCTATAGCTTGATTTGAATTTCTTGCTGTTACATTGAAGTTTATTTGTGCACTTTCAGGTCCAATTCCCTGACTTATAGCTGGAATTGAGAAATCATGGAGGAAAATTCTTGGGCGATGAGGACGCAAACCTAGCCATAAAATGAATCCAATGATACCAACAATAGCAAGAAGGGTTAAGAAAATTGTACAAACTAACTTAGAGACTCTAGTAGTTAGACTTTCTTTAATATGGTGAGCATAGTATCGAGCCGAGTGGTGACTCCGTACAGGGCGGTCTTGATCTGCATAAACAGGTAACTCGTGCGCGTTATCCATTCTACTGGGTTGAGATTAAGGTTGTTCTTGCGGTTGAAGAACAGGACCAACTTTAAGGTACATGATTATATATGTTAAGGTTTGTTAGCTGGAGTACAAAGTAATGTCAAAGAATGTTTCAAGTCTTTCAAGAAAGGAAAGAATAAGATGATCTAACTGGTTACATTCTTGATAGACAAATATTTGTTGTATAATGTCATGCAATTCTTGAAGTCATGTGAAAGTATACTTTGTTCAATAGTACTCGCAAAAATTTGTTCTTTCTCGCAAAGTATACTCGTGGAATATACAATGGTATTTCTTTCTGATCTTTTTATTGCTTTTGAAGGGTTCATACAAAAAAGATGAGTTTCTATTTGTTTGTATCTTGGTTTTTTAAGACATTGAAGAAAGCTAAGTTTTAAACTGTGGCCTTCAAGCAACTGATATGCTTGTTCGAGGATATTGAACTTTTTTGTCATTCTTAGAATTACCGTATTAGAATTATTGAGAACGGTTACATGTTGTTGTATGTCACCAACATTATAACTACAAATTATTGTCCAATGGATTGCTTGCTACAATTAGTAAAATACATCGATAGTGTAGAAATTCTTTATCCGCTTATATAAGTTAAATCTGTGAATGTTAGCATAGAAGGAATTTGCAAATAATGATCACTAAGATCTTCTGGAAAGAAAACAAATTGAAAGAGAGAAACAAGTTTTCTATTTTTCTCTTTTTTCTTTCTTGTTTGGAGGGTTATGTTACATCTTGATTGACCCAAATTTTGGCCCATAGCCATAACTTTTTGGTAGAAAAGAGAAAATTCTATGTGGGCCTGAGAAAAGAAAAGAGATTTTTACATTCTTATATACTATATGAAACTATATTATCCTCTCTACTCAAGTTTTACTATAATTACAATTTATATACTCAATTATTATTTATGTACATTTTAAGGGAATTAATGATAATAATTAGTGTCCTAAAATTACTCTAACATATCTTCCACTCCCCCACGTTTCTCTCTCCACATCCCCTCCCCCTCCCCCATGTATCTTGCACACACCCACGATTCCACAATTGATAACCATTAAAAAGTTTTGAAGCTTTGAATTCGAATTTGGGTTTTCAAAAAATATTATTTGTTTGAATTGGATGTTGTTGCAGAGAATTGGGAATTCTCTTAGGTCTCTCTCTATCTCTCAATCCCTAATTTCAGTAATGTAAAGCAAAGGAAAAGATAGCAGCAATTCCACCATTGACAACCATTAAAAAGCTTTGAAGCTTTGAATTCGAATTTGGATTTTAAAAAATCATTATTTGTTTGGATTGGGTGTTGTTGCAAACAATTGGGAATATGGTTTGTAGTTTATATCTCAATTTTGAGGGGTTTTGGTGAAGATTAGACTTGTTTTTGGCTGAATTTCAGATTGAAACTCGAAGAAGAAGAAGAAGAAGAAGAAGAAGAAGAAGAAGAAGAAGAAGAAGAAGAAGAAGAAGAAGAAGAAGTGATATACATTATATTTACGAAATTGTAGTAAAATTGTAGAAAAATTGTATTCTGTTGTTTATTTATTTAACTATTGTATGAAAGTTGAACAACATTCTGTTTAAATTTTATTTAAGTTGTATGATATTGTAGTTATATATAACTGAGTAGAAATAATGTATGAAAGTTGTAGCTAAGTTGTAGATAAGTTGTATAATATATAATTAGTTGTATGAAATTTATTTTTACTATGTATAAATCAGATACAAAATATACAAAAGACATANATATATAACTGAGTAGAAATAATGTATGAAAGTTGTAGCTAAGTTGTAGATAAGTTGTATAATATATAATTAGTTGTATGAAATTTATTTTTACTATGTATAAATCAAATACAAAATATACAAAAGACATAATGTATAAAATTTGTACAAATATTGTATTTAAGTGGTATGATATTGTAGTTCTATATAACTGGGTAGAAATAATGTATGAAAGTTGTAGATAAGTTGTAAACACAAGCAGTATAACTTGTATTTAAGTGCGCTCTTGTTTTCCTCCCAAAACCTCAAAAATGAAATATATCACTTGACTGAACTGAACTTCCTGAACCCGGTAACATACATATGAGAGGACTGAGGACACACAGGAGAAGATGAAAAATTCTAGCCAAGAGGTTTTGGGTTTTGTTTAGTTATTTGCCCTCCAAGTAATATTGATTCCGGACATAAAAGGAAGTAATATATTTTGTTCATAGGCACACAAAAGGAAGTACTATTATGAGTTGGTTACGTTAGTTATCTATAAAGAGAGACAAAAAAAATTCCCTTTTCCTCCTTAGAACGAATCTGGAGGATTAAACCGGTGGGAATTAATCCAAGCGCTCAAAAATTTCTATTATAATGCCTAACTTTATGCTTTTCTTTCCATTTACCCCATGTGATATAAAAAGCCAATTAAATCATCTTAATTCACTTTTGTCTCAAAAACAAAAAAATGAAAGATGACAAGCGAGGAATTCTGCCAAATGTGACTATTAAAAGAAGTCCAGAAACCGCTTGAAATATCACCATAAAAATAACTCCTACAACAACAACAACAACAACAACAACAACAACAACAACAACAACAACAACAACAACAACAACATCTTTGTTGCACTTAAACATAAGTTGTGCAAAGATAGATGAATTGGATGGAGGGAAAATTATGAAGCTTGTGAGGGATGTTTTTATTTTACTAAAATTGGAAACTAAAATCAAGGGATATAGTAGTTGGCTTAAATTGCTGCAACGGTGGAAGATTTGGAGAGGAAAAAGGAAAAAAGTATAACTAAATCCCTTGATTGAAGGTACTAATAATGGACTGGGAGCCTTTTAAGGTGGAATGTATATATTTTCTAAGCAAAACTTGTGTAGGTAGGGTAATTTACTAAACATGAACATTTAGAGTAATAAAGTTTCCAATAGTGTATAGGAATAAAAAAATCCCAAAAGAAAATGATGATAGATAATGGTTTTTGGGCTACTTCAAATTTTTCTGGAACAAACACTACTAACAGTTGTAAGCACGTGATTTTTGCCCTATATGAGAATTACTCCCAAAAAATTCAAAAATAAAATGATTTTTCTTTGGTGTGCAATTTTGTGATAATTTGAATAATTATTTGTAGTTGTTTGTGCGTGTTTATTTGCTAAATTAATAAACAAAATACAAAAATATGTCGCATTTTGTATGTAGGATTTAATTCTACAATTGATAATAATTAAA